TTTTTTTTTTTTTGGGATAAAATATGTATTGTTCTTGTAATATGTATTGTTTTTGTAATTTCAGCAGAGCATGGATCGGTACCAAAAGGTGGAGAAGCCAAAAATCGAAACACCCATCGACGAGAATGAGATTCGTATCACAAGCCAAGGCAGGATGAGGAGCTACATCACCTATGCCCTGACTTTGCTTCAGGTTTATTCATCTACGCTCGTGCGGATGAACAATTTAATAGCGCATTCTGCTAAATTGTGTTTCGATTGCTAGCGTTTAGTGTTGACATTGCTGACACACTCACACTTGTGTATAAAATTTATTGATCTCTGTTTACTACATTGGTTCGAAATGTAGATTGTGTCGTTTCCTGGTTTAGCTGATACTATGCGAAATCCTTTGCCGCGTTAATAATTATCGTTCATACAAGTTCTTGTTCGAACTGGGTTTTATATAAATTGTTGTCAGATGAGCACATCTAGCTTTGTTGTATGGATTTTTCCTACCTTTACAGTAGAAGGGAACCTAGTACATCTATTGGAACTTACTGCTGTAAAAAAATTACAATTTCTCCACCTCTGATTTTTCAGTTAGATTCTCTATATTTTTGTGGTGCTAGATATTTTTTGGAGGCTAACACCGAATATAAGAAAAAGTTGTTAACTTTCAACTATTATGAGCGGCAGTTTGAAGATTTTTTTTATTAGTCACTTATGTTTTGTGCAATTGAACTGGTTATATTTTGTTCTTGAATGTTGTGTTTTGATTTTGCTTTCTGATCTGTTCAAAGAACTTGCTGCCAAATGCATGGTTATCAATTATGAAGCTTATATTGAAAGATTCATATGCTTATCTGACAGGTTTTGGTATGTAGAGAAACACCTGTTTGTAATTCATTGGTTGTTTGTTTGTTTTTTCTTGGTTTCGACGAGACTCTGTTAAACATCATGCTGATTAATAATAAGTACATGCATTTTTAGTTTTCATGTACACATCAATCTGATCTGATTTTCATGTTTCATTATGTGGAATGAAAAATTTTCAGAGGCTTTAATTTATCCTTGCACCAATCTGTAGGAAAAAGGTTCAGATGATATTGTATTTAAGGCAATGGGCAGAGCCATCAACAAAACTGTCACAATTGTGGAGTTAATCAAGGTCATTTTTCCCATTCATTTCTTCCAAGTTATTTAACTTATCTTGGTGTTATTGTTATCTGAAGATAATTTTTTTCCCTTCAACTCAGAGGAGAATTGTGGGTCTTCACCAAATCACAGTCATTCAATCCACTGACATAACCGACACGTGGGAACCACTTGAGGAAGGGCTCCAGACGTAGGAGACTCCGATTTTATAGAATGAACTGTCTAAACTATGCATTTAAATGTGTATTTTGACATGCCATTTGTTGATTTTGACAGTTTGGAAACCACCAGGAAAGTCTCGATGGTCACTATCACTCTCTCAAAAAAGGAGCTAGACAAGACAAATGTTGGGTGAGTTTGTATTTTTTTCTCTGTATGTGTCATCTAGACTGTAGTCTTAGCCTTTGAGAAAGAATGTGAAAAACTATGATTTGTTGTAAAGAAATTATATTTCCATGCTTTATTTCTTACATCACTCTATTTCTTAAATTCTGAGGTGCTCATTTATGTTTTCATAAGCAACCATATCATGCGAGTGGGATAATTGGTGGACTTTTAATTTTTGTATGATTTAGGTACCAACCTCCGATACCCGCTGACCAGGTCAAAGTTGCTACTGAGGTCGACTATGATGGAGGTGGTGTCGTGTATTTTAATTCCTATACTTAATATATTTCTTCAAGGTCTCATGTTCCAACATATTGTATTTATGCAGACGGGTCGCCTCCTGCCCGAGGAAGAGGTCGAGGTGGAAGAGGAAGGGGAAGGCCAAGACCCCAATCTGGTATTGATTTGATCAAATAATTATTGATCAGTCAAATCATTGCAGCACTTGCTTATTATTTGCACTATTGTGTAATCTGTAAGAGTTCATTGCCCTAATTGTTGAATAGGCAACGGTTTTGCATCTGGGGAGTATGAGGATGGTGGGTATGAGAGGAATCGTGGATATGGGAGGGGTGGTAGGGGAAGAGGCAGGGCCCGCAACTTCCGTGGGCGTGGGAGGGGAGGCTACGGTGGTCCTCCCCAGGTGGAAGATGCTGCAGCCTACGATCAAGATGCACCTCGAGGTACGCCTTTTGCTTGTCTTTTAAATGAGGATTTGTCAAAATTTTTCTAGTTTAGGCGATGCAGATATGGAACCATTTATTTTGCTTCCGCTCGATAGAAAATGTGAACCAATATGACTAGAATATGGTACATTCTGTGTGAACGATTTCGTTTGATGAAACCAAATGGCATGCAAGGGTTGATCTGGAAAATAAATGTATTTTGAAGAGTGAGAATGCCTTCTTGTGACTCTGTATATGAGAACCCTTTTATTTTTGTTCATCTTGTTCAGAACTGCAATATTTTCCATGAGGATGTAAGTTATAAAAAAAAACTAATTAACCTTAGAGCTATACCCTTTCGATACTTGTTAATTGTTTCTAGTCTATGAGTTGCATCTTCTGTGATGATATTTGTCAGAAAAGTGCAAACTCTGAAGGTGATACCAATTTTTTTCCATATCCAAAAGGTTATTTTGTTTTCATGTAATTAGTTCGATCTGAAGAGTAATTATTTTATTATTCTTATTCATCTTCTACTTCGTACAACTACTGCTTCTGCTATTACATCTGTAAATCTGGAGCTCTGATGTTTCGTTGCTGCTTTGTGTTATTCATGCTCGTAATGGGTACTAAAAATCAAAATGCTGCAGGACGTGGCCGTGGAAGGGGCCCTCGAGGCAGGGGTCGCGGATTCAGATCCAATGGGCCGGTCCAAGCTGCTGCTTGAGTTGCTCAGGTGTTTGAAATTGGGGTTATTATTGTATGAGAACAATATGTTCTATCACTTAATACCATTTGCCCCCCAAGCGTCTTATGTTATTCTGTAGTTCTTAGTTTTTTTTACCTTTAGGATGCCCCGTTTGTAATGATTGTAGACTGACATGGACCGCGCGTGCGTGGTGAGCGTTTTTGTTTTTCTTTGTCAAGTAACCAATTATATTGTTTTACTAGCTGTTTAGTTGTCTTGATCAACTGTAACCTTATAGGTGATGAACATTATTCTTTAATTTGTATGTCTTGTTGGTTGAAACTATAGAAAACCCAGGCATCATGTTGTGTCCTTTTCTCTGGATGGTTTTCTGGTTTTCATTTAGTACTCCAAATTTGCACTGTTTATGCTTAAACTATCTCTTAGCTTCCTTTTCTCTGAAGTTTTTTGAGACTATAAAAAGTCTAGGCATCAATTCATGTTTATGCGTAACAAGTGAGTGAAATTTAGATTTTATTCTATTTACGCTGTTCATTTATGAAATTAGAAACGGTCTGCTTATTCGTGTACCAACCGGCAACAGGTTTCCTGCCGGAAGGTCTGCACAAATTTGTGAGATACAAACTATTTTGAAAAGCCACTTTGATGTTAGAATGAGCTTATGACTGATGGTTCTAACATGTTAAAGTTTGTTTTTAGGTTAGATGTGGGAAGTACTACAAGGATATCAATTGTTTGTAGTTAACAGTATGTCTTTGTGTAATTGTTCTGCAAATGCCAACTGCTTTTTAGGTGACACACCTCGTCCAACCCACCGTCGACATGTTAAAACCCTATTGGAGTAAGTTGATTTTTTCCCTCATAATTCCTTTTGATTTCTAACCGTTCATCATCAATTACCCAAAATGCGATGATTTTGGAAACGGGTTTATTGCACCAAATCCCCCTGTATTATATGAAATCTGCGTGTTTTTCCCTCGTATTTCAAAAATTGCGTCAAACCCCCTTGTATTTAATGTCTACATGCAAACTCGCCCTGTTATGTTAACGCCGTTACAAATCCCCCTAACGGCGTTACTTTTTTTATTCAATTTACCATTATAGCCTTATTTTATCGCTGTATTTACTATTATGCCATTATACCCTTATTTTGTAACTGAATTTACCATTATGTCATTACTTTATTACTGAAATTACTATTACGCCATTACTGTTAAATAATATATATATTCTAAATTATATATAAAGAAAATAATATATATATATATATTCTAAATTATATATAAAGAAAATAATATATATATATGTATAACATATATATATAATTTATTTATAACGTATTTATATAACATATATATATATATATATATATATAATGGTTCATATATAATATATTTTTACATTATATTATAAATATATATTTATATAATAACCGTTATATATATTATATAATATATATAATTTAATATATAATATATATTATATAAAAATATAATTTATATAATAACTGTTATATAACTTAAATTATATATATTATATATAATATATATAATTTAATATATCATATATATTATATATTATATAAAATATAAAATATATACATTATATATTAAATTATAATATATTATAGATATAATATATTACAAATATAATAATTTATCTAACATATATACTTTATATAATAAATTTTTATAATATATAATTTACATAATATTATATAATATTATATTATATAATATTATAATGTTATATATTATATATATAATATATATAATAGTAATTATATAAATTATATAATATTATATATATTGTAATATTATCTCATATTATAATATTAAATTATATGATATTATATATTATAATAATATATAATATATAAATGATATTATATATTATTATAATATTATATATTATATATTATATATTATATATTATTATAATATATAATTTATAATATAATATAATATATATAATAATATATAATAATATATATTTATTATATATTAGGTATATAATATATTATAAATATAATAATTTATATAATATATATAATTTATATAATGATTTTTATAATATATAGTTTATTAATATTATATAATATTATATAAACTGTATATTATAAAAATCATTATATAAATTATATATACTATATAAATTATTATATTTATAAATTATATAATATTTTATAAAATAATATTATATATGTTATATATAATAACATAATATTATATAAAATAATATTATATATTATTATCATAATAATATTATATAATATTATATTATATAATATTATAATAATATTATATATATTATATTTTATATGTATATATATATAATATATATATATAACGATTATATAATATATATATATAATTAACAATTATATATATACAATATATATAATATAATATATAACATATATTAATATATTATATATATTATATGTTATATATAATATATAATAATCGTTATATTAAATGAAATATATTTATTTATTATTTTCGAATTTCACATTTATTAAATGAAATATATTTATTTATTATATCTCTGTTTGTGTTGTCTTAAATAAATGAGTGTTAAATATGTAACATAGAATAATGGTGGTAGAGTTGTTTGAAGGCTTGTCTAATGGTATTTTGGCCTGGGTTCGAATCCTTGAAGGAGCTTCTAAACTTTTATTGTTTTGCCTAACAATAGTAAGGGTAAAATGGTAAATTCTGCGACTTTGGGGTGAAAAAAGGAAGAAAAAGTCGCATAGCACGCGCGTGCACTCCATTTCCGTCATCTTAGACGGTTTAGGGTGTTTCGCGCATGCAAAAATATAATAGAAGGGGGTTTGACGCAATTTTTAAATTACAGGGGAATAACGCGCAGATTTAGTATAATACAAGGAGGTTTGGTGCAATTTACCCTTTTGGAAACCGTGAACCCATAATTCGAGGCTGGACCCGTCGGTAGCCCCCCAGCGACCTTTGATGGATGGAAAACTCAATTGGGGTTGGGGGTTTAGATTTGAAAACTTGATTCATTTAAGGGGCCTGATTGGAATTTAATAATTTTGGTTAATTTTTAATTTGGTACATGAGTCAAATATTTAATTTATAAAAGAAAAATATATAAAAATATGTTTATATGTATATATATTATGTATTTGACTATTTTCAACAATCCTCCATATATATAATTCCCGAATGCGCTGAGCCTACGTGGCTGCTTCTGGTGCTTCGGAATCCTACTTGGCGAAGAATCATGCTTCGTAATTAGGTTTGGACAAATAATATTAATATATTAATAATTAATAATCTAGGTTTGGACATTCCATAAATATTATTTAGCTAACTTAGGTATTTTAATATCATTGTACTAATATAACCCTTTAATTCCTTGTAATTTTACATAGTGAGACACTAAGTGACTAATATATCCCTGACTTTTGATTTGTTTCCTTCAATTAGCTATTGAATTGTAAATATATTTTAAAAGTTGATAACTTTTGTATTTCTTATCGGTTTTACATATATAATATATCAAATTAATCATCTTTTGATGATCTTCGATTTGACATCCATATTGTATATATTGAAATAAATAAATTATATTTATATTTATAATGATAAAAAATAATTATATTTATTAAAATTCATTAGAAAAATAAAATTATTTCTCAATTGATATAATTATGTTTAATGTAGTTATATGTTGTAAATTAAAAAAATTATTATAATATAACACAGGTAAGTCGCACAAATAAAAAGTGTCATACAAAATATATAATAATATATATTTTTATAAGAGGTATTTAAATTTTTAACTATCTTTCTCATTAATTTTAGATTTTAAGAAAAAAAATTATCAAGCACCCGTGTAATACACGAGAGTTATACTCGTAAATAATAAAAAACGGTAATAAAAAAATACAAAATATACATAATAAAAAAAATTCAATTATTTAGGTAACCAACATAATAACCTAATTATTCGGACAATTTGTAGTTTGGAATTGTATATATAGTAAAACTCGCACTGCAGAATGAACAATAACATCCATCATGATACACATTAGTCACTGTCAGGCGGCACCATAACAACATAACAACGCATTCCGTACAATAATATTGCGTGACCCCAAAAAAAAAAAAGACGTATGCTAGTGTGCATTTAAACATGTATTAAAATTTTAGTTATTTTGATTCGATTTCAAATTTATTTAAAAAAGTAAAATAAATAATAACATAACAGACAAAACTATATAAAAATAATATTTATATATTTTATTTATTTATATATATATATATATGTTATTTATTTTCATAAAAAAGTAATACAAAATGATAATGTTAATTGAAATACACGTTAAAGAAACATAATGTTTATGTTTAGCCTCTCTCGGTCGCGATAACCCTAGCCCCAAAAAATCCACCGAATCGTTGCCTCTTCAATCCAGCGTGTTTGTGCCTTCCTCGACGACGGCGTGATTTCGGCCAGCGGTCACCTTTGACCGCTTGACCCATTCTTGAAATCGCGCTCCTCTGATGCTGATGTACTTTTCTGCGACTTGTGATTTGTCCTCGGCCGTCAACGGGCCTGTGATTGGTGGTGGGGTGCTTCTCGGTCGCAGTGAGTCACCGACTGCCTGCGATGGGCGGTCTCCCCTCAGGTGTCGGCGTGTCTCCGTTTGTTGACGGTTTGGCCTCGATCTGTAGCTTGTCTGCGATTGAGGCTTTCCGGTCGGCTCTGCCTTTTTCGGTGGGACTTCCTGTCTTTGGTCGTTGGCAGTCAGCGGTGTTGTTGGGTGAAGTGCGGTTTCAGCAGGTGGGGCGGGGCTCCGACAGTTGCGACGTTTTGAGTCGAGGAAGTCGGAGTTTCGAATCTAGCAGCTCTCACCCCCTGTTCTCTGGTGTTGGGGATGGCGGGGGTTCCGAGCTTGACTGGTGGTGTTAGACGAGTTCGGGCTGCGATAGCTTGGGATGATGTGTCGTCGTTCACTCGGTTGGAGGCGGGTAGTTTTTTGGTTTGGT